TCAAACTCAAATCACAAGGCACTTGAAAACACTTCCAATAGGTGTGTCAACTGGTATTCTTTTTGTACTACTCTCTTTCCTAATCTGCTGACTCTATTTCATGTGTTTTACCTGTCTATCAACCATCCAATCTTATCTTTCCGGCATTCTTTCCCCACCTACGTCATCCTCAACTCTCCCCTTTATTTTACCTTTATTCATTTTCCGTTATAATTTGGTTACATCTATAAAAACTTAAATCTTTATTTTACTTCTTTAAACGACAAAGGAACTAAACATTAATTGCTCAACACCGTTTTAACTAAGCTGCCTTGTGTGATACTACAAATATAACCTAAACAGCTTAAGTAAGAATTAGACGAAGCATTAGAAAAAAAATTAATTTACTTTTTTTCGTGATGACTGTTCTCGCAGTCGTACTTCTCAACGCGTCTTTCCTCTACCTTTTGGCAAAGTTCCTTGTATTCCCTTATTTGTCTCAGTGACCTCTCCAATAACCTTTTTAGTTCCTCATATCTTTCCTCATCATTTTCAGAACAACTGCTTCGAATAACCGACTCAGCCTACGAATCTTCAAGTTAAACAAAAACTGAAATAATTAAATAATTCTCATCAATTGCTGAATCTCAAAATGCCAATGGATGAGACCAGCGTCTATTTCAAACATAAGAAAAAATTTTTTGTCTATAAAAGTGGAAATCCAAGCGACTCTTAAAAAATATTCCTAAGAGAGAGAAAAAAACAAGCGAATTATTCTCTCACCGACTTATTTTTCTTAAGCATGAAGACCAAAAAAAACACCTTCTTGAAGAATGCAAGATCAGACTTGCTTTCTTTTGTTTTCAGTGCTGTCAATACAGTACTAAAAAAAACAATATAAAAATGTCCTAATAGAATTCAAAAATACTTACGAGCTCTTCTTCATTCTCCTCCGTCCAACCATTGTATAACTGTGGTAAATCATGTTCATCGATTAATCTTTCTACCTCTGCAGTTATGCAAGCTACGTGCTTCGTACTTTTGAGCAGCTTTAAAAATTAAAATTTTTTGCAAGAAGGTTAAAAATTTAAATGAATAAATTAGAAATCAGCAATGTCTTTGTTGCGGCTTTCTGCTTGCCGTAAATTGGTGTTTCTACAAGATCCAGAAAACTACAGTTATTACGCTTACTGAGGAGAATCTCTAAACCAAATTATAAAAATAAGAGAATTCTAACTGTAGAAAGAAGGGACAAATTAAAACCATCAAACTAAACCGATCAATCAATAACATTAAATAAACTCAGAAGAACAATTAAGCACCAAAAAGAACACTAAATAACATACCACTCTTTCCAAAAGCGTTTTTCCTGTAACTTTTTCCATGAACCACCGAAAAGACAAACGAACGAAATTACGATGGAAAAAAAATATTAATTGGTACCAGAACGGAACTTCATATCTTTTCAATTCCCACTTGAATATGGACGGTGTCGCAGCATACATAATTAAAGTACCCCTCCAATTACCTCTAATACAGTTTCAATTTTCAGCCTTGAGATCTTGCAGTACGATTAAATGAAAGAGAATTATGTGGACACTTATATAAACGACATTTCGTGGAAGTTCCCATGGTACCAAACAAAAAAGTTGTTAAAAATACTGCTAACGCCAACAGCGCTGAAAACTTCACAACTGTATAAGAAAAACTGCGATAGAAAAACGGATAATGAAATGAAATACTCTACTTCTTATGAGAAGAAAATAACAATGCTGTTAAGAAATGAAGCTTCCTTAAAACATAAGACTACCTAAGCGATTCCTTCAAGAGAACATATTTCAAGTCAAAGTTGAAAAGCTTCTCAGAAGTAAATCCATGCTCTAAAACGTCTAATCATCGCA